ATAACCCTATATCTATCTCGTGATACGTACTTCCGTTAGGTGAACAAAACTATTATACTCTGTAGCAACATGTTGCAAGAGTTTAAAAAGAGGCCAATACTTGTCACACAGCAGGCGCTTCACTGTACATAAAGGAATCAAACGAAAATTTTACGAAAACGACTTCCAACCATTAAAATCTACGGTTAGCTTTAAAGTGGTCTCGGATTGACATTCCAAATAATCGCATATTGCAAGCTTCGCTAGTCCTAAGTTAGGATAGTTCAATACATTAAGGCGATACCAATTCTATACTATCTGAAGTATTTGGTTAAGGTCGGCTCGAATAGCTCTCCTCTTCAATTGCATTTCTTGTTATGTCAGATCATATCTAATGGATACGATGATAAGATATAGTTGGTGTCTAAAATAATTCAAAATAGAATGGATTCTAAGGAAGGATGAAGCCATATGTAGAAGTTCACGCAAGAGAGTAAAGTTACCCTGAACACCATTCACTTGGAAGTGGCCAGAAACGATTCTTTAACATATGGCTCAAGCAGTTCACGACTGTCAGTCTTAAACCAACTATCCTCTGGGTAGCCGAAAAACATCCGTTTGAAAGCGAGCTAAAGTTAGTTAAAGAATCCATCGCTATTGAAAGGTCTTCTTACCAGACTTTTGAAGAACGTGCTAATCGAATATTTTATCTCAACTTGGTTTAGCGTTTTCGCACTTCGAGTTGTGCGAAAGTGAAAATGTTTCTCCATTCCTTCGATATTGTTGGTGAACGCGAAGGCACAGATATGTACTTTTAATGAGACAATGCCAACTTACCGCCGGTGTTGATGCTTTAATTTGCGGTCGCAATTCACTGTTATTGTCTTCATAGTCTTCATTGTTGTCGTTCTCTTGGTTACGCGGCGTCTGCGGCGTGGCATTARACATTTATACATATTTCTCTTTTATTTACTTTCATGAACGCATACAATCTGGAGGTACAGTGCGGCTCATATAAATACAATTAATTAAGATTTAACATTTGGTTTTATGTAGGAAAACCCTCCACCCTTATTCGGAAGCTCACCTATTGATAAGGTGCAATACCTAAACTTATCCTCGTTAGAAAGTCTATATGGAGGCCAAATATTGAGAAGCGGTTAAACTGACTCTCTAATGCTATAGGGGAAAGGTGGGTACTCTCACCACGGATGGTTCTAGAAAACTGTGGCCAAGGCAATAATGTTGTATGATGTATTCATCTGATGAGGGACGCTCGAGAAGGCGCACTCATTAAGAAGTTTCAATATGTCCAAAGGGCGGCTCTCTGCGATGCACTTCTACCAAGGAGGTGAGCATGCACTTTGACAGCAGAGCGGTAATACTGGTGCTGAGCTCGCAAACTGTGGGCTCAAAGTTAGTATATGAGTGTCGAAATTCACTAGATATAGCACACAAGCTACTTCATTATCAAACCCGTTTTGGTGCATGGTCATGTTGCAATTGCTGTAAACTTTACAACCGATGATAAGGAGTAAGAAAAAGGGTGCCCCGCCCCACTCACATCGGAATGGGAACGAGTTGGATTCCCACTGTCATCAAGGTCTAGGCTATCTCCAGCATTTTTCAGCATTTGCAAGAGTGAGGGCCATTCTTCATATGTACTTTGACCATTCTTTCTTTCGGCGAACAAGGAGACAAAACCGAAAMTGATATTAGTCCCCATAAAGGAAGACCAAAAACCTTCGAAGACGCTGAATTTGAGATCTTACACGATGAGAATACATGTCAAGCACAAATAAAGGTTCCTTCAACACCAGCCAATCTATTTCAAAACAAGCTTTAGGAATGGAAATGAGAAAATTGAATTCCTTATGGCCTCGATACCAGGAAATGCACGAAAAAGAAATTCTGCTGCATGACAATACTCACGTGTTCAAACACGTTAAAATTTACCTGGAAATGCTTAAATGGGAAGCCTTAACCCACAAGCTATATTCTTCAGATACTGCWTAGTCCGATCGTTTTTTGATTCGTTCGATGGCACTTGGT